GGCAGCGCCCGCCGGGGAGCGGCGATGGTGGGGGTGGGAGGAGGGGGAGACGGGAGGGTCGGGAATGGGAGTGGGGTGGGGAGGAGGCGGGGATGGGGTGGGAGCCTGGGAGGAGGGGGAAGGGTCGGGGAGAGGGCGGCGGGGGTCGGGGCCAAACCCCGCCCGGGCTGTGCCTGGCCCGTGGCCCGCCCTGTGCGGCCGTGCTTGTCCGCCTAGGCCAAGCCCGCGTGCCATGCACGGCACGGCGCACGGCACAGCCCGCCTGGCACGTTTAAGTAGGTTTTTTTAAAGAAAAATCCTTATCCTTTTGTAGTGTAGAGGAAGCTTTGTACTCTTTTTTTTCTTCTCGTGGATGGAAATTTTTAACGAGACAGCTACTAATAAAGCTCAATATTTATCCCATATGACACTTTATCTCACTTTTATTCATTTATTTATTTATGAATTTTCAGAATTTTCTTTATTTTTTGAAGTAATTGGCCCAAAATAGGCCCATGACGCATAAGTGCCAAACAGGCCCGCGTCGACCCATTTAGTACATATGTCCTGCTGGTCCATTATGTGTCGTATGCGTAGCAGTGCTCTATGTGTTACACCATCTCCAAGAGAATATAACTCACGCATAAAGACATGAACTGTCAAAGATGTCACACAAGGAAGATGTGGTATCATGCAATTGTTACTCCATCCATCCCAAAAATTTTGTCTTAGATTTGTCTAAATACGGATATACCTAATTATGTTTTAGTGTTAGATACATCCGTATCTAGAAAAATCTAAGACAAGAATTTTGGGATGGAGAGAGTACATCTTTTGTAACGCCCGGATAATTAAATAACAGTAAAACTCTGCTAATGATGCCATGTCACCTTCATTATTGTTGATAATCTTTTGTTAGTTCAAAACCGATTCAAAAATCAATTCAAAATATGACAAACTACAAAAGTTTTCAAACCTTGAAACAAAAATGTTCGGTGGATGCCAAATATTGCACTGGTAATTATTGTGGAGAAAACATTTTTTTAGAAAGTGCCTAAATATTCTAAAATGAAATAAAACAGAAAAGAAAATAAATAAAAAGAAAAGGTGAAAATGAAATAAAAGGAAAAGAAACCCCCCCCCACTGGACCAGGCGGCTCAGCTCACAGGCCCACCTGGCCCAGCTAGCCAACAGCCGGCCTGGCCCCCTGCCTCGTCTCCCTTCCCTGTTCCCCCGACCCGGGTAGGAACAGGGGCGCGTCCCCGCCTGACCGCCTCGCCGGCACCGACACCGGGAGGGGATAAGGCCGCCATGCCCCCGCCTCCTCGATCCCGCCTCCCACTCACCCACGCTCTCCCTCTCGGTCCCTGCGCCTCCCCTTCCCTCAGATCCACCTCGCTGCTTCCCCTTCCCCACCGCGTCCGAATGCCGCCATGGACCCGCCACCGTGAAATGCGCGGCCAAAGCCATCGCCTCGCCTCGTCAGCGTGTCCGTCGTCTCCGCCATCGTCTTCCTCGTCGACCGGTGGCCGCAGCTGGAGCTCGGAGGCGTTGCTGCAACGGTCCCCTTCTTCCACATCTCCGGTCGCCGTCGTTCTTCACCAACTCCGGCGATGCCCCCTGCTGCTACTAAACCACCACGGGCCATCTTGCGTGCCGCACGGTGAGCTCCTCCGCCTCCTGCTCCTCCTCGATAAGCCCCTCGCGCACCATAGCTACCTCGTCGCCATTGCCGTGAGACCGTCGCCGCGGATCGCCTCGCCGCCGTGGCCATGCTCTCCGTCGTGCTCGCTTGAGCACGGCATCGTGTTCCTGGTGCTTCCTGGAACCTAACGCACCCGCGCACGCGCTTCCCCGTGGCCCTTAGCCCCTAGCTCGTTGAGCGCCCGAACGCGTCGCCGCACGCGCTCGTCAGCGGCAACCGTCCGGTGACCTTTTGGTCTCGGGCTCGTGCCCGTTGTGCTCGTACGCACACGTAGAGGCCTCCTGGCCTTATAGAGAGCTTGTTGCCGCGCCGCGTCGTCGTTCCCTCTCACGGCCAAACTCAGGCATCCGCCTCTCTGCTTGCTGACGCCGCTCCGGTGCGTCTCCGGCGTCATCACCACCCCCACGTGATGCGGCCCGGTTCCAGCTTTCGAACGTGACCAAAAACACGACGAACGGACCACCACCGCGGATTTCCGGCCACCTCCCGAGCCGCGCTGCCGCGTTTTGCCTCGCTGGGGCAACTCCGGCGCCAGCGCTGACCTGGTCACTGCCTGTGGGCCTAGGGGCCCCAACTGGCCACGTTGACCGAAGTCAACAGCACTAACGTGGCTCCCCTGTGTCTATGACATGCGGGCCCCACGCCATAAACGAATAAAAATAAATAGATAAATTGCTAATTAATTAAATTAGTTAATTAAAAACTTAATCTCTCACTGACTACTAGGCCCCACCCGCTAATTAACCCATTTAGTTAGTTTAAACCCCCTGTTAGTGCCCTTGACAATGACATGTGGGTCCCACTGGACCCACCCGTCTGGTTTGACTGGTCAACCGACCATTTGACTTGCTGACATCACTCTGATGTCATGCTTGCGTCATCGTTTACTGTTCTGGATAATGTTGGATTTAAATATATAATTAAAATCAAAAAATGATTAAAACTTTAGAAAATCATATAAAATAATCCGTAACTCGGATGAAAATACTTTCTACATGAAAGTTGCTCAGAACGATGAGACAAATCCGGATACGTAGCCCGTTCGTCCGCCACAAATCCCTAGCATAGCGAACATGCAACTTTCCCCCTCCGGTTCATCTGTCCAAAAACGCGAAACACCGGGAATACTTTCCCGGATATTTCCCCCCCTTCACCGGTATCACCTACTACAGCGATTGGGCACCCCTAGCAACGCTCATTGTCATGTCATGCATCGTCATGCATATGTTTGCATTATATTTATTGTTTCTTCCCCCTCTTCTCTCGCTAGACTCCGAGACCGACGCCGCTGCTACCCAGTACGACTACGGTGTTGACGACCCCTCCTTGCCAGAGCAACCAGGCAAGCCCCCCCCCTTGATCACCAAATATTGCCTATTCTTCTCTCTACTGCTTGCATTAGAGTAGTGTAGCATGTTACTGCTTTCCGTTTATCCTATCCTGATGCATAGCCTGTCCTTGCTACTACTGTTGTTACCTTTACCTGCAATCCTACATGCTTAGTATAGGATGCTAGTATTCCATCTGTGGACCTACATTCTTGTCCGTCTGCCATGCTGTACTATCAGGCCGTGATCACTCGGGAGGTGATCACAGGTATATACTTATATACATATTATATGATACCTGTGGTGACTAAAGTCGAGTTGGCTAGTAGAGTACCCGCGAGTGGATCTTTGTGGCGGAGCGACATGGCAGGTTGAGACCACCTAGGCGAGAGGTGGGCCTGGCCCTGGTCGGTGTCCACGGTTACTTCATAATAACACGCTTAACGAGATCTTGGTATTTGATCTGAGTTTGGCCACTGGCCTATACGCACTAACTAACTACGCGGGAACAGTTATGGGCACTCGACGTCGTGGTATTAGCCGAAGCCTTCTTGACGTCAGCGACTGAGCGGCGCGTGCCGGATTAGACTGGAACGCCTGCTCTTGTATTAGGGAGGCTAGGTCTGCTTTCGGCCGCCCTCGCAACGTGCAGGTGTGCAATGGGTGATGGGCCCAGACCCATGCGCCATAGGATTTAGACCGGCGTGTTGACCTCTCTGTTGTGCCTAGGTAGGGCTGCGACGTGTTGATCTTCCGAGGTCGGGCATGACCCAGGAAAGTGTGTCCAGCCAAATGGGATCGAGCGTGTTGGGTAATGTGGTGCATGATACGTCTCCAGCGTATCTATAATTTTTTATTGTTCCATGCTATATTATATTCTGTTTTGGACATTATTGGGCTTTATCATACACTTTTATATTATTTTTGGGACTAACCTATTAACTGGAGGCCCAGCCCAGAATTGCTGTTTTTTGCCTATTTCAGAGTTTTGCAGAAAAAGAATATCAAACGGAGTCCAAATGGAATGAAACCTTCGGGAACATGATTTTCGGAATGAACATGATCCAGAGGACTTGGACCCTATGTCAAGACATCAACCAGGAGGGCACGAGGTAGGGGGCGCGCCTACCCCCCCCCCCCAGGGTGCGCCCTCCACCCTCGTGGCCCCCATGTTGCTCCACCAACGTACTCCTTCATCCTATATATACCTACGTACCCCCAAACTACCAGATACGGAGCCAAAAACCTAATTCCACCGCCGTAACCTTCTGTACCCGTGATATCCCATCTTGGAGCCTGTTTCGGAGGGGGCATCGATAGCGGAGGGCTTCTACATCAACACCATAGCCTCTCCGATGATGTGTGAGTAGTTTACCTCAGACCTTCGGGTCCATAGTTATTAGCTAGATGGCTTCTTCTCTCTTTTTGGATCTCAATACAATGTTCTCCCCCTCTCTTGTGGAGATCTATTCGATGTAATCTTTTTTCGCGGTGTGTTTGTTGAGACCGATGAATTGTGGGTTTATGACCAAGTTTATCTATGAACAATATTTGAATCTTCTCTGAATTCTTTTATGTATGATTGGTTATCTTTGCAAGTCTCTTCGAATTATCAGTTTGGTTTGGCCTACTAGATTGATCTTTCTTGCAATGGGAGAAGTGCTTAGCTTTGGGTTCAATCTTGCGGTGTCCTTTCCCAGTGACAGTAGGGGCAGCAAGGCACGTATTGTATTGTTGCCATCTAGGATAACAAGATGGGGTTTATATCATATTG